TGAAAAGATAACCATAATAAAATTGCATTTGCTGGGGTATTCGTAAAAGAAACCCCGTCCTGACTCGTGACCCTTCCTGGTCCCTTACAAACGGGGGGACTGGAGTTTTCCACTAAAAGCACACTGTAAAGGACCTGTATTACAGTGCTGGGTAGAGGTAACAGAAGTTCGAACCCCTTACGAGGCTCCTTTTGGCTACGGGCCAGAAATATACCCTGGCAGCACTGAGGTCCTTCGCTGGGTCTCATCCAGACTTAAATCCAGATCCCACGATATTTTTCGTTATTATTAGTTTATCTGGTGTATGAAGTACACTAGGAATCGAACAACAATGGTACTTGTGGTAGGGATATGCCTACGTCACGTGATGATTAAACAATGGGACAGTGGTGATGTATACGAGCATGGAGAACAAGTGCGGATATTACAACTCTCAATAAAGTTCTATGAGTGACTCATTGGGGACCATCTTGCAACAGCGCTCTTCGATCGAGACAGATTGGTGTCGACAATCTGTAAATTATTTACCAGATGATTGGTGTTAACTGACAGCAAGCATGTATTTCATAAATTGTTTCTTTGTTTAGATTTAAAGAATAAGCTAAAATGTTGGTTACTGTAAGTAACCCAGGGGATCTTAACATTACAAACCGTTTGCCTGATTCAGACAGCCATTAATGTTTATTTATAACAGGGATAATTACTAGTCATTTTTATCTTTACAGTACAAAGACCTTACTAAGTTCAATTCAACTGACAGTACTGCTCATTGATTAAATAAAAGCAAGATACTTTCCTCATTAAACTGAAAATTAAAAGCTGATGCAAACTTATAGATTATTGATTTATATATGCTGCATATATATATATATATATATATATATATATATATATATATATTTATATATGTGTGTGTGTGTATATATATATATGTATGTATATGATATGCATTGACGATAAGACGAGATCTCAAAAGATAGGCATGCTATATATATATATATATATATATAAGTTTGAAAGGCAAATGGGAAAAACCCATAAAACATAAAATATATATATAAAAGAAAGATAGTTTTCCAAGAAGCACAATTATAGCTCGTAAAAATCTGCTATGTATTTCAAAATCAAATTACTTTATATGCACATTAAGGTTACATGGCAAGAAAATTGTACAAATATGAAATTTGATAAACTTATTCTAATGGTATCAGGGACTATATACATATTGCAGTCTATGTTCAAAAGTACAAAATGAAAACAACATTATGGACGTGATTAAATCATGTTCGCCTGATGTTTAAGAGGCAATTATGACTAACACATGATGCAATAAAAATCGTATATTGTATATTGAAAAATTATTTTTTTTTCTCAAATTCATGAAAACATACACAATTGCTGGCAAAGCTCTTTGTACCATGACTGATATAACGACAATATATTATTTTTAATTAAATGGATATTGGTCTAAGTATAGAAATAATTCTGAAGATGCTGCGATGGCTTGGCGAGATATAATTAGTAAATGGTTGTTTCAATACGGAATCTAGCAAAAATGTTGAACCTACTGTGTATAAAATAACATGCAATAAAGGGAGCGCTAATATAGTCTTTGATATTATTGTGATATCAAAGTATAGTACGGTACTGGTAGTTAATGTCAATTCTTGTTAGTATTAAACGTAGAGTATAAATATTTAAAAAAAATACATAGCACTGCAGCTTTAAGGTATGACTAGCAAATACCTTTTTAAAAAATTAAAAAAGAAAAAAAAAATGAAGACACCAGTTCAACATTTATACATCCTACTTATACTGATTAAATATAATATTAGGTATATTTGTATATTTCTGTCTGAATAAAATCTCCTCACAGGAACGATGCTCTCATAACTTTATTTTATTTATATAAATCATTTTATTTTTCATTTGTTTATATTCTGTTTACGATGTCACGTAGCAAACCTGTATTTACATATATAAATATACGTATATATTTCCATAGACTAAGAACGATCTCGTCGTTTTTATAATAAACTACCATTCAACTACCAGCTTTGATATATATATATATAATATATATATATACATA